ATCGTGTATGTATGTTCTCCGGATGCAGGATAATGATGACAAATTATAGTGTTTAAATGAACTGAAAAGGTCCAGAAAGTAGATTTAGGATTGTGTCTGTTTTTTTCCAACGCCCTTTTTATCGTTCCTTGGACCAAGCAAAATAAAATAATGACAGCGAGCAACCAATTATTCAGTTCCACTATTTAAAAAAACAAAAACAAAAAAAAAAAAACTATTTTTTTTCACAGATATTTTAATTGTGATACAAAGCAAATTATCTTATAAAAGTCAATGTCCATGTTTACTGGACCATATTTTCATTAATGCATTACGGGCTGGAATGTCAACAATCATAAATTATGTAGTACAAAATGCTTTTACGACCCATAAACTTTTCTCTTGCGGGATCCTTTTTTTCTGCTAGTATTATTTCTGGACCGAAAATTCGACTCACCTACACATTTCCTAATGAAAAACTGTGTAGAAGCCTATAATAGATTTAAAAGTCAACATAAATTCGATTTAGGGAATCGCTGGAGTCTCAAATAGTCAATAAATGCTATATGTAATCCTGTAGTTTATTGTAGGCTATATTGTGCTGTCTCTGTTCAGTGGTATTGATATAGCCTATCTACAACAACACTTGATTTTCTTATGGAACATGAGCAGACACACTTACTCTCCTGCTGTGTTGTATCACTGCCGCTGGTTAAACCCGGAGATTCCAGCATAGTCCTGCCCGTTTCTCCAACACTTTCATCTGCCTGAGAACCGACCATTTCTCTAGCCTCCTCTAGATCCAACAGGTGGCTCACCGAGAAGTTCTTTTTGGCTTGCAGGTTTTCCAGGTTGGCTGTAATGGGACTCTCCAGTCTGCTGGATATGGTTGCTTGTCTGTCCATTACATGTGCATAGCTAGAAGTCATGACGCAAATACGATACAAGAGGGAAAAAAACTGGGCAAGTGTTTTAGGTTAAGCAAGCAGGTCCTCCTCGCATATATTTGAAGACAAACTCGTAAGCAACAGCGCCTCCAAATCGATGTCTTAGTTGCCTTTGCTTACTATGATAGCTATCTAGGAAAGTTTTTCTCACATATCCAGGTGGAGCAAAATTAAAACCTGGTCTAATTCGTTATGGAACTTAATTGTAAAGATCACGACGTCTGTTGAATCCGTTCACCCATGTAATCTCTTTCTGCAAAGTACTGTTAGTTTAATAATAAGAAAAAAAAACTCCCCGAGCTCCACGGAGTTGTTGACTGAGCGCAGATCCAGAAATGCTGATGCCTTTCAGATGCATGTGCGTAAAGCGTCGAGAGGAGGCAGGACACTCCGAAGCTGTTGGCTCTCTCCTCTACTCCTCTAATCACTCACACCCACACGCTCTGGCACTTCAAACGCGCGCTCACTGGCATGCAGTGGACTGAATTGTAAATGAAAAATTTAGACCCCTGGGAGAGAAGATGGAGCTGAAAGGCTCTCGTAATTACGTGGCAAAAGACTTTGTGCTGTCTTTGACGTTTAGCAGTGTTACGCACCCCTCCCTCTTCCATCACAGCTTCCTTCTTCGAAGGTTAACCCTCCCCAATCTTTGAATTTCTGAGATATGTCACTTATTTCCATTTTGCACAACAAAACTGACATAAACAATGTTTTAAGTGAAATGTAAAGGAATCGTCCAAATAATGGGATGGTTAAGTTGAATGTAGCCTGCTAATAGTCAGAGCAGGGATGACTGTCACCCGGTGACACCATTTTTTTTTTTTTTTTTTTTTTTTGCAAATGAGGTTTTCATGGACTATTCACACAGAACGTTTTTCAAAATGCAATACACAGCAATGGAATTGAGGTTAAAAAAAACAATGCAGAGAAGCGTTTCTAAAAGTTGTGTAACGCAATGAGCGCAGCGCAAAAAGACGTCAGTATAGCACATATTTACATAAAAAACAACGAAAATAGAATAAAAAAAAACTATTGCGTTCTGTGGCATTAGTAGGCTTTGTTCCCCCTGGAAAGACATGTTTTTTTTTTGTTTTTTTTAAATGCGTTTAGCGTTTTTATTTGCTTCCTTGCGCCTCTTTTTCATTTAATAGAAATATCCTGCAGCTTTACGCTTTCTTTCAGTGTACTCAAATAGGCTATATAATTGGCAATGGTAGTCGACCTCTATACTTATTCAACATTTCATTCAAAAGTCGATTGAATTTTTATAGTTCCACTATAAGAATATAACATTATGCACATTCATTGGCAAATGTTTTTGTTGAAAACGTTTTGTCGTCTAAGGCTTTGGCTGCAGTGGCCTACACATCTCCAGCTGGGACGGGAGTCTTGTCAGGCCATTTGGTGTGTCTTTCACAAGGTAGATGTCCATGTTTTTCAATGGCAAGAGTCTATAGGCTACTCACTGCCACATACATCCCAGCTTCCAGCTCCAGATCTGGGAAAAGAACACTTGATGCCATCAAAGGAAAACGGATTGAAACCAGATGTGCTGCTTTCGTTCTTTCCATGTATTTAATTAAGCTGCTGTTGCCTATTGGGATGGAGTAGACCTTTTTCATCATTAGTTTCCCCTCTACATTCCCTCAGCTGCCAGCTCTTCTACAAGCGACTTCTCTCTCTCAAAAAAGCATGCTATCGAGGCGATCGTGCAATATAGAAGACAGTTTGTAGTTCTTTCAACCACAACCAGCAAAAGTTTTTTTATTTAAATGTCAAATCATTATGCCACATGTTCATCGTCGTTTAAGCATAGAACTCTCAGATGAAAGGCATTGGGCTACATTTGTTAAGGGCCTGTCAAAAGCCAAAGGTGTTTTTTTTCTGTTTCGTGATGACTTCAAAAAAAAAAAAAAAAAAGTTAGAGGTCCCAATGCCCCAAAAGATCTGATTTGGACACCTAAATGAAATTCCATTATTTATCCACTCATTTGAGATTGCTGAGATTGAAATAAAACAAACTAGTAAAAAATGTATTCTCTATTTTCATTTACGTTTTAAGATTTTATTGATCTCTCGGAGAGTTTCCCAGGCCTGTAAATCACAATCTTGCCGAAATTCGTTTTCCATGACCGTGGGAACCCTGTAAATAGATGGACAGAATATGAAATGAAGGCTATTAAATTTCGCTCTGAGTTAACCTAAAACACACACACATACACAAACCATCGGACAAGTCATCACTAAAATGTATTTTGTTGGTTAAATCTAGGTCTATTTCTTTGCTATACGATATTTTACAATGAAATAAAGATATACGACATTTTATAATGCACACGTGTGTAGGCTAATTAAATACATAACTCATGACTCATAGCCTAACTGTGGATTGACATGACATTCTGATAAACACAGACTCAACGATCCAGCTTAACGCATGAATTACAAAATGAGTTAATTATTTATCGAAATAAACCTGAACAAGAACAATGCACACAATTCAGGCTATTTGTATCCATAGAACTGAAAACCCTTGAAAATGGTTCCGTTTGGTTAATGGCTTATTTACATCAATTAAAACAGACACAAAAACTTCTTGTACGAAAATATGAGTAAAAAGGCAATTTGTTATGTTCATTGTATTATAGCTATTGTAGGCTACAATATTGATAAATTATTATTCAGAATGTTTTGATTTAGCATGGTTTACGTCTGGCTCATTACACCAGCACGGAGTAATTAGCCTATAGCCTAATATATTTAATAAACAGAGCAATTCCAAGAGGGTCCTCTCACCATCGGTGCTCGGGCCCTAATTAAGTAAAATATTGTCTTAAAATGTGCTTTACCATTGAACCAACAACAGAAGTCGTCCTGTTTGGATGGCAAGTTGAGCGACAGGCACTTTTGAATTCCCCTGGCAGCACTATCAGAGCGCGCGCGTGTATGTCTGCGTGTGTTTCCCGCGCAGGATATGAAGCGCGAGAGCACAGAAGGAATCACTTAAATTGTAATTAGCGAAATAAAAGCGGACTGAGCTCGCGGTCGTCTAATCAGCACCAGGGGTCAATGGACAGCACTACCGCGCGTGATCGGGTTTAACTCGTCAGAATGCTCTCCTAACAGGAGGAATTTAGTCGACTAGTTAAAGCAGTTTAGAAAGACTTGAAAGAGACCGTTTTGTAGGCTAATAAATCAACCACAAATGCAGGCTAGCAAAAAGATTTAGGCCTAAAAATAAACCATTGTAATATTCGGTGTTAAAATGTTCTGTTAAATTTAGTTCACGAAATTAACGTAGCCTAGGCTAAGAACTTTAGTTTTGTTTTAATTTCTGTTGATTCAAATTTGTATCTCTGTACAATAAAAAAAATGTTACGTACAAATGAAAAGCGATTTAGTTAAATGTTTTTTTTTTATGGGGTCAGTATAAAATGACGGAACATTAACATTAAAAAGATTTAGGTAGCCTATTGATTTTATTTGTCATTATGTTGAGCGAGGGTAATCGTCATTATCAAAAATGGATAACATTGACTTTCCAGAAGGCAGAAAGTTTCAGTAAAAGTTGATCTTGTGTGCTTTTTTTTTTCTTTTTTCCCCTCGAGTTTCTCGAGTTACTTGGTCTTTTCAACCTGTCCCGGCGGACTGAGGGGACATAAATCAGAAACGCGCTCACAAAATGGGCTTCACGAAAATCTATTTTCCTGTATTTACTTCCAGGATTTGTCAGTCCTTATTTTATTCATTTTAACCAGAATAAAAAAGAACATATTGTATTTCGTATTGTGGTGATTGAATCGAATTATTAACATTATTATGTTATTAACACCAGTATTATTAATATTTTTAAGACCTTGGCGTAAAATGACAATGTATTATCAAGATTTTAAATGTGTGGCGGAAGAAAAACAAATAAATGACAAATTATTTTATAAAATATGCAAAGATTAAAAAAACAGTTTCAACGTTCTTTACAAATAACAAATGCATTACCACTGAATAATGTTCAAAAGACAAGCATTAAATGTATCCTGATTTCCAGTGGTTTATTTCAAATAAAAACAAAACAGGTTACCATTATTAAAATATTTTATTCACCAACGGATAATTAAAATATTGAATTCAAAGCATATTCCATACCCATTATAATGCACACGAAAATAGATATATTAAAAATAAACATTTAAAATAAAAGCTACTGTCAAAAGAATAGTTAAAAAATAACAGCCTTATAAATGTCTTTAAAGTTGGTGAATAGCTCTGCATGGAGTATCTGAGGTTTATTAGAAAGAATAAAAATATACATACAAAATATACATTTACAAACAGCTATGGTATTCCACTTCCCACACATCAATAGGGTTACATCAATACAGTACAAAATTGTTCTCATCTCTGCTGAACACACTGTCAGCTTTGTATGATAAAAAACTGCTGTTATTGATTTGTTAACATTCACATAAAGTAATCTTTACGAGACAACTTCCACACAGATAAAACATCTCACCATTCACTTGTGCGACATCATGTGAAATAAATCACAACTACAAACTACCAGACCATCTGCCACTATTCAATTTTGAATAATGTCAGTTATGGAACAATCAGTAAAGTTATCAGTATTTAGGGTTTTAAATATGCACAATGTTTTCAAGAGATTCAGTCTGTTTTCTTAATGTAAGACGGATTCAGATGCAAAATGACTGACATTCAAACAAACCACAATAAAAACATGGAATGATGCAGCATTAAGATCAAGTAGCACCTTCAATGAAAACCAAAAACTAATCTCATAACTGCTCCTATTATTGCATCTGAGTTTAACGGATCATAATCAATATCGGAGCGCCATATAAAAAGGCATTTTAGTGTTAGTAGTGATGGAATGAGGTTGTCTTGGCATCTTACAAAAAAAACCCATCAACATTTCACTAACAAATGCAGGGTTATTGGTTTTCTTCAACAATCTCACAATGAAGAAATTTATAAACCTGGTAGCAAGTGTTATGTAAACTGTCATACAGTCACTATTAAATTGATGATGCTTGGAAGCTAGCTTAGCCCATCTGCAGAAACATCTGTTGATTTGCTCTCCTGATTGTCTTGGCTGATCTTTGGTTCTGTAATGGAACAGTCTTTGCTCAGACTTGAGTCATCCACGTCTATATGCCGCTCCATGTCTGCTGCAGGACCGTTTTCAGTAACATGCTGGGAGTTGCCCTGCCTCTCTTTGTCCTCTAGATTGGTTTCCTCTGGGCTGGGGACTTCATCCGCATTAAGCTCTAACTGATGCATCAACTCCTCTAGTTTGCGGGCCTTGCGCAGCTCATTCTGTTGGATGATTGCACACAGGTGCTCCGTCAGCTGCTCTTTCACCTCCGTCTTTTTGTGCAAGTCCATCTTGGCGGCAACATACTCGGCCTCAGCTTTCTCAAAGCGCTTCCTGTCAATGATAGGACATTGGCAAAGACAAGATAGGTGAAAACATGTCCAGAAATAAACTAAATCACAAGGTTAAAAAAGGCATACGAATGTTCTGGTATAAGTAATAATTTGGCCGAATTAATAAAGTAAGGCTACAGAGGGCAGTGTTTTCAATCCTGAGCTAACAGACTTTGTTAATCACTCTTATCATGGAAGTAGTTTTGCCCTAATGTGGAAGATTTTGAGGAAGTGGCACATAAACAAACTGATGCTAATTGCAACAAGAAGTTACTGCGAACTTGGTTTGCAGTACACTCGGCATGGACCAGAAATGAATAATTACCATGCCAGAGAATAATCCATGCTGGACTGCTCTATCAGTTTTCTGAGAACCCCAATGTCATTGGACACCGAATCATCCAGTGCTTGAAGTTCTCTCTGGATCTTCTTCAATTTCACAGCTTCAGCCTGTGTCTGTTTGGACCTGGGAAAGAGGAAGGGACAATATTTAAAATATCATCTTTGAATTTTCATGTACGGTTGTCATACTCCAGACAGATTGATTTTGATAATGGTTTAAAACTAGATTTCCTCTTACTTTTCAGCAATGGTCTTTGTAAGAAGAGCTTTTCTTTGTTTATTCTTCTCTTCCATTATCCGTTGTTCCCACTGCAACTGCTGGAGACGGTTCTTTTCTCGTCTGTTAAAAGAAAAGTTGTGGAGTCTTACAACTGAAGTCATTACAACATAAAAATAAAACGCATATGATCATCCACAATGATTCAGTCGACGTTATATTGATTTAACCAGTAAAAGATTTGAGTTATGAATATATAAAGGCATTAAAATATATACAATCAGGACAGGCTATTTTTATACTGGATAATATAAAAAGTGACCTAAAAAAAAAAACATAGCAGTGTATTGTAAATACATATTTTCGTTATACAGAATACATGTTTCTTCTAATTTTGGTGTGAGATATAATCCCAATATGTTCTTGTATAGTAATAAAACAATATGTAATATTCCATATGAAATATAGTACAACATATCTTTACATACTCATATCTGAGCTAGTGTTTTGCAAAGGAACTAGACTTACTAACAATTCCACTTCCTGTCTGTCCAGCTCCTTGAAGACTGCTGGTGGTACAGACGCCACAGGTGAATCTCGGTCAACAGGTTCTGCCTCATTCTGCGACTCTGGTTTGGACTCGTCCTGTGATTTTACAGGAGCAGGGTGACTGACAACAGGTGGGTCTGGGGGCTTGGTTAGCAGTTGGTCAGGTGAAAGAGACTGGCTGCCCTCCTTCTGCTTGGCTGTCAGCTGCAGAGCCCTCTCCCGCTGAAGCTGCTGTCTACTCCGGTTAGTCGGAGCGGGTCTGCGGCCACGACCCAATGTGACCGGTACAGCCTGGTTTACTGAGTAATGTTAAAGAAGATTAAAGCAGATTTATCAGGATAAAGTTAGGTACTGCGGACCAAAAACTAGTGGACTGCCGATTGACATATATGTTTTGATACACGGCACATTTTCTGTATTTAATCAAATAAGTGAAGTGAATCGAGTTAAGTTTTCATTTTTTTACTCACTGAGATCGCCGCTCTGCTGCAATCTTTGTAGTTCTTCCTCTGAAAATCCAGCCCACGCAGCCATTTTCAGTACCCAATTAATTTACTTGCTAACCGGTTTTATCAAAGACAAGTACAAGTGTTATTTTTCACGATACACCTACAGAAGTTAACATTACGCTCTCATCTGGCCGCCATGTTTGTGTATACTTACTGACTGACTGCCACGTTCAAGACCCTAGAAAGGCCCCCTTGGCGTGTGCCCTCAGAATTTGCCTGTTGGTTTTTGGAAACGTATATTTATTTTAGTATAATGTTGCGAATACATTTTTTATTTTATTTTTTATTTTTTGTAACTTTTGTAATATGTATTATTTTTAATTACAGGAAATAGAATTAGGTGCCTTACATTTACAATTTTTTTTAGGCACATCCGTGTGCTTAATTGTAATGTAAATAAGCCCTGCATTGGATTGTATCTAGTTATTTAAATACAGTATTCAGAAACAATAAGCAAACAAAAAGATTTACTGATCTGCTGAAGTGTGGAGCTAATGAATGCTTTTCTATTCCATGAGTTGGTGGAGAACTGTAAGTAGCTCTTCTTATTTCAAGGAAACTGTTACAAAAAGTTTACAGCAAAAAAAAAAAAAATTGTCTAACAAGTCAATGTTAGCACTGTAAAAAATTAAGACTGCATAAAATGTAACATAAAAGATAACACGGATAACATAAACAGTGGCCAGTGTTAATAATTATGACATTTACTTGCCTGACTGAATTAATGCTTGTATATTATTTCATAGTAAACAGTGACATGGTTTGTTATAAGTTTTAAATAGAATAACAAAATTAAAGTCACCATAAAACCAAAATTCTTGTTTTTTTTTTATAGAATATTGCAGTATTTAATTATTTATCTGTTATTCTTTAATTAAAAATACTTCCTCTCTCTCTTGCAGTGACTTCTCTTATGCGTTTATTTCCATTTTAAGACCAATTTAAAGGCTATATGCATGCATAGGCAAATGGATTAAACAAGTTATTGTTTTGTATAACTACAGGTATTTCATAAAAAAGTGTTTAAATATTGTATGAAGAGTGTTATATCAGACTATACATCAGACTATTGGAGTCAATGGCTAATTTTGTTTATCCTCCTCTTCTTGCTCCAATTACCCTCTTCACATTCACTGAGCCATCCTGCTCTCCTAGTGGTAGAGAGGTCAGAGGTTAATGAAAGAGCATGCTTGGTGATAAAAAGCATGAAATCCACAGAGAAAAGGAAATGTCAAACAGTTGTATTGAGTTTCACTTTTGCTTTATTGCCAGAAGCACCCATGATTGTGGCAGGAGTAAGCACTCTGAGGGGCTATGGGAGGCCCTGTAATTTGTTTGGATCAACTGCTTATCTGTGTGATCTGGCATGTGCTGCCAAATTAGTTCGAGTTAACTCATGTCTGATACAGCTGCAACACTGATGTCTGATTTCCCATTATTACCATTAAGGCATTCTGGCTATGACCTCCATTTGTGGTGGATTGTTTGGTAGCCTAAGTGTGTTGAGCTGCCAGTTTTGGAAAGTAGAAGCACTTGGTGGTCAAACATTGTCAAGTGTAATTAAAAAATATATACATGTAGTCACTTAAAGATATACAGTAATCGATTTTTGAGGGTTTCCCAATTGCACAGGAAAAACAAGACGACTCTGGCCACAATGCATAAATGAATAAAATAATCATTTTCATTATTCGGAAAATATCTTTTTTATTATTTAAATATTTTAAAAACACAGCATATGAATAAAAAAATGTAGAATACAATATGAATTGTTACAATACAATATTTATAGATCTATAAGCAATTCAATGATACTTAGTTTGTCAAACATTTTTGCTTTATTTTTGTTAAGTAAATAATGACAATTTGTTGTGTGTTGTTGTTCATCTAAGGTTGTATTTACCTCTTTTTAAGATCTGCCAAGGACCAGACAATTTTCTTGTATTATGTCTTGATACATAAACCATATAATTCAAAAGGGTGTACCACGGGCATAATATTGGGAATTGTCAATATTTTTAGTAGGGTATTTTTAGAGGGTTTCCAAACTGCAAAACAAGCTCTGGTCACTGAATGAATGAATGAATGAATATACTGTATTTATATTTTAAATACATTTATATTGAATCAATTTTCACAGATGTACATCTGTGTCTGATTTAATGTGGAATTGCTAAACTTTTGAAAATGCACTTTTTTGAGTCTTTTCCATACAGTATATCAATATGTCAAACACTACACCATCTAAATGCTTCACGTATATTTTTAAATGTCTGAGAGAGTGATTCTTCACAAATATCACTCATTAATTAATTTAAATTGGCAGCCATCTTTGACAGATTCGATGCATTTGCACCATTGACATGACATAACACTTCATCCAGACAGAAAACCATAAATAAAGACTTGCAACTAACGGCCACCTTAATTCTTTCTAGTCTCTCTCTTTTTTTCTTCTGCTTTCTCTGAGCTTTTTTAAAATCTGGATCTGTATGTCAACACGCAGAGGACAAATATGCGTCTGGCCCCCCAACCATTCCTCAACTGTATTTAGTTAAAAAGTCAAGCACCGTTAATTGCCCTACACAGGGCAACCAAACAATCACTATCACTTTACAGCAGCTTTTTAAAGGCAGACTCACATCTTTGATCCATCTGGAATTATTTGTGCACTTTAAAGGAGAAACACCTCAGGAAAGGATAAATGTAGACTTTGAGAAGAGAGACTGATGCGTGGGCTCCATATGGGCAAGTGAACATGAGCTTGTTTTAAATTAAGATGGAAGAGTCTTTGGCACAGACCCGACCATATTCCTATTACAAGAAAAGCCTGTGAGGAAAGTCCACCGTGACCCAAAAAACAAGGAGCCTGAATTTGTAGTTCATATGTTCAAATTTCAGAGCGAGAATGGCAGTGTTGGACTGTGTGCCATATAGGCAGAATCAACTTGCACTTCTTCAGATGTGTTGAGTGAAACTAGTCAAAACATTCCTACATCTGAATGAATGAATTCAATAAATATGTTTTATGAGATACAACCTAGCCCTCTCCATTATTAAAAGCACATTTTTTGCAGGATTGAAACAACATAAGTATCTTGGCATGAGTAATATTTACCATGACTGTCCTAAATGGAGTAATTTGTGTAAGTAACATCACCCAACACCTTGGTAACACTGTAAGTTCAGCTTGGCTATGTATAATTAGACAGATAAAGTTTCTTTTAGATATAATATAGTTGTATGAATCATATGGAATGATTTGAGAGAGAGAGAGAGAACATTGAAGGATATATTTTGTTATTATAGCCTAAAATAGCTTTCTTTTGGCTGGAAAGATAAAAAAGGGAGTATTTGAGTCTCCATTCTATTAGAACACCAGAAGTATCACATAAAATTGAACATTTTAAAATCATGTGAATAAAAAACAGCTTTATCTTCTTAGAGTTACTTAAAGTTAATATTTAACAATGATGATAGATTTTAAATCATGATGACCTAACATTTTTAATTCAGTCAAGACATTTCCTGAAAATAATTTCATTCATCTGAACAAAAAGTCATGTGAACAGCTGTCTTCATTTTTTATGCACTTGCAAACCTTATTATTATTTTTACACCACTCTTTTTCACGTTACCTTTCATATTTACCCCTACCAGCATGATACATTTAACAAAACTATGGTATAAGAAGAGCAATTTATTTCGTGAGCCAGATAAATTCTCACATTAGACCAAGTTTGACATTTCATGTAAGAGAAACTGGAAGTTTTTATCAATTGCTATGTGTCTTGGGAAGATAGAACAGATCAGGCTGTATACGCATTTGACGGCCGTGTATAACAGGCAATTAAGTAGGAATCAGCGCAGGAACAGCAAGTGCACATTGTGGCCTCACTGTGACTTTAAGCCATCAATAAAAATGCACTTCCCTTAATCAGTCAGGGAACGGGTCAAAAAGACAAACAGCCAATTGATGGTTGACCTCAAGGAAGGTTGAGGTCAATATGGGGATGATTAGGGGTCAAAGCTGTCAAAGCAGGCAGATGTAATGGTTTCAAATCCCACGTTTTGACTCCCACATTTGTGTCCGTCACAGAGCGCTCCTTTCTGTTTATGCTGCGAGACAGAGTTTCAGTTTCCAGTCGTGGCCATCTGTAAAGAGTTTAGGGGACCAGAGACGGATCTGTGTGATGTCATGCGATGATTTAAAAGGACAGAAATTACCCTGTGATCATTCCCTGACTCTTTCACTGTGTGTTTATCATAAAATTGAACCCATCTCTGCCATATCTAGAAAGTAAAAAAATGTTTTGGTCCCACTTCATATTAGTTGTCTTTAACTATGTACTACATTTTAAATAAATAAATAATTAGATACAATGCAATTATTGTATACATGCTTTGACATTAAAAATACCTGCATATAATTACATATGTAATTAATTTCTGTAATGACATCTATAATTATACTGTTGACCTGTCCCTTACACCTTAACACACCCTTAAATCTACCCCTACCACCAAACCCCTAACCTTCCCCGTATCCCATCTCAATGGCAGAATAAGAGTTTTGCAATAAAACATGGACACAATAATTAGTGATGTCTCCTAATTTAAAGTGTGACCATTTTTTTTTAGGTCAAGTAAATATTTATTAACTGCTCTTTTTTTTTGTAGGAAACTGTCGAACCAATGAACAGTGCAGGTGAGTTGGATTAATGCTGTTTTTTAAATAGTCTTATACTGGAAGTTAATACTGAATTAATGAGATTGCATTATTTGACCATTTTATTTACTTGCTTTTTTGGTCATATTAAAGGTACACTATGTAACTTTTTTTTCAAACACTTCTTTTTCATTTATTTATTTAAAAAAAAAAACAGTGCTCTCTTTTCACGTTCCTATATTCAGCCCTGCTGGCATGATGTGGTATTGATTTACATATTTAACTTATTACCTGTGAGTTAAGTTACTAGAGCTCACCAGAACAAGAACATGTTGGCACATTTCCTGAATTGTGTCACCTGAAGCTATACTCCACCTATATTTGTGCCAAAACCACTTGAATTAGCAGCTTTGCTCTGACCAGTTCAGGCTCTGATCCAGGACTTTTCTGCAAGTCTCCTGTTTAGCCACACACAGCACATCTGGCAGAAACC